TATGTCTAGTATATGAACAGACTTCTTAATCAGGCTTTGACGAATGTTAACAGCAGCCGCGGTTCCCTTAACCCCCACTTTCCCGTAAGACCTTTGTCTTTTAAACCGCGGAGATTTTCAGGAAGTTAACCGCAATTGGCGACCATTCGTATATAATTGCATTAGCACCAGAAGCACATGCAGTTGATGAACAATGACTGGAGGAACAACTGAAGATAGAAAAGTTATGTAAATTCTGAGCAGGAATACGAATGCTGACTGTTTGAGAAACCGAAAGAGAATATTTAGCGCCCATATAAAGATTTATTCCAAACTATGTGGGGTGCCTACGCCTGAGAAATAATCGTAATTATACTTAATATTCTGAAAAAGTCTTTTGTCGCAATGATCTGCAGATTCTTTTTAATTCGCTGAAACTCACTGAAGTGAATCGTAATAGAGTTCCATGCATTAGTGGCATATTGAAGATTAAAGTCAAAGTCAAAGTCACATTGCGACTGGCGGTCAGTCAGTCTGGGGCTCATGACCAGATATTAATTATTACCATTTGACAGTTACAGTCTTGTTTCTGTGGGGCGCCCTCTCTGACAAGAGGACGGGTCTGTCTTTTGTATATGCTGCTGGCCCTTGCCAGCACAGTCTTTCGCGGGTCCAAGTCCCTTGGGACTCGTGACCATATTTTACTGTCTAGTCAGAGTCAGAGTCACGTTACCACTGACGGTCAGTCAGTCTGTCTGTCTTGGTGTCGAGCCCCAGCTGGGGCTCATGACCAGATATTTCTTTTGTATGAAAGTTACTGTCCTGTCCATGTGTAGCGCCCTCTCTGACGAGAGGTCGGGTCTGTCATTTGTTAGTCAGTCTGTAGTAATTTGTCCATTGTCTGTATTTACACATATTTGCAATACATACTTATATAAATGTACAATATTTACACGGCCTCCGTCAGTCCAGGCTAGGTACAGCAGATTATGCCCTTTTATATATATATAAATAAATATCCTAATAGTATTAGCTATCACGGCAGTCTAGTCACTTTACTGTCTATCTCACCGAAGCAAAATATAAGGTCAGTAACTGACCGCATAGAAAACACCTCTCCCAGCAGTTCCTCTATTGTTGCGTGATGTCACAAATGGGCTATAGCCTAGTAACGGCCGTTGTTTACAAAAACATTACTTAGCAACAGGTCTACATGCTACAGCACTAAGTTCTATAAAGACTGGTTCAGATATTCAAAAGTTAATAAGGGGTGGGGTTCACAGACACGCAGAAAACATGGAGATCGCATGAGGCAACTTTACAAAAGTAGGCTAAAAATCAACTTGATGATAAAAGTAAATGTTTGAAGTCTCTCTACACACCAAAATAATTTACGAAATAATTTCGCAATACGAAAACTTATCCAAGGACATGCTGATAGTTTAGCATGTTTGTCTTCTCAGTGACTCTTTAATTTTACTGAGGTTAAGGTTCATAAAATTACCAAAACGTCTATAGTTTGCACAAAAATATCTGAAAGTAAATAGTTAATCTCTAGTCGACGTAATAGCATGGAAAACTTTACGATCATCTGCTAAAAGAAGATATTTTGAATGATCGGTTACATATTGTGGTCCCAACACTGGCCCTTATGGTACACCAGATAACAAAACAAACCAAGATGAGATTATGTTACGAATAAGTATACATGACTGATCTGTACATTATATAAAACGCAGCCAGTTTAGGTTATCAGGAGTAATTCATAACTATTAAGTTAATGGAGAAAAGAATGGTAAAAAAACAAAGAAACTCCATGATTTTAGTCCGCAAGCGAACTATACCGACCGAGCTACCGCTGCTTGTTGTCGAAGTTCAATGCCAACTTTTGCGGATAGAGGATGTCACGTGGTCAGCGCAACGAATCCACACGGCCGTTAATTTCGGTTTCCTCAATTCTCATCACGAGGCTGAGTGGACCAGACCCACTAATTCTCAGAAAAAATCAGAAAAAATCCACCTCATTTGGACTCGAACCCCCGACCTTCAAAATTGTAACATAGTGCCCTCAACCAACTACGCTACCGCGTACCCCACCCTATCATTTGGATATATACATGTGTATATATATATATACATATGTGTGTGTGTGTGTATATATATATATACACACACACACATACACACAAAAATTTGTCCTCTTAGTTGAGGGTTGGACGTAAGGCTGACGACCTTGCTCTGCAAAATTATTATTGTTGCGATATCCAATGAAGTGAAAACCGGATGGCCTAATGTGGCAGAACCTTCTAAGAAAATATGTGCTCAGAAAGGGCTGTTTTGCCACTGTGGATAATTAAATTCTAAGTTTTGAGATAAAAAGTGGCGTCATCTAGTGATAAATATTGTCACGTGTTAGAATGACTATAGACGGGATTTGGGTTGGTGACATGATTTGTTGACCACACAGCTGGGAACTGCATGTAATTATAAAGATATCACTGACCTCCACGCTTTACAAATCACTAGAGCACACGCTAAGTCTCTTCAGTCTGCTTTCACTAATCGTTTCCTGGTAACGGATCTTAACAATGGAGATTCTTCAGCTTCTGTGCTCACATCGTTGCCTGTTGGCTAATACTTCACAGCTGAACTGCTGCAACAAGCAGCTTGAGACTAACGACCAATAATTTTATTTTCCAACTAAACGCTTGCGGTCATATTCCTTATGTTATATCCTCTTTGACGAGAGGATGGATCTGTCATCTAAACAAACGAGGAGGTAACAGGACCAGTTACAAGTGTACATATTAAAACGCCTATTATTATACAGTGTTCGCTGTGTCTTAATGCATTGATTCTCAAAACGGGTCAAAGCCCCAGGGTGTCATGATGTACGATAATTTAGTGCGGGGATGGGGGGGGAGTTGCCAGGTTCTCAAGAATTATTTAAATTATGTACAGTTCTGGCAAGTCATTACGTAAATGTAGCTGCAGAAGGCGAAGAATTTTGCCAGATTTTGTGACTGTACAGGAATATTTTATAGCACAATATAGGTATAGAGTTGTGGTTAAGGCATTTATGTTCCTCTTATTGTACGGGGAACGCGGTAGCCCAGTTGGTTGAGGCACTATGCTACAAGTCGGAAGGTCACGGGTTTGATTCCCGATGAGTTCACTGATTTTTCAATTGACCTAATCTTTCTAGCCTCACTATGACCCTGGGGTCGACTCAGCCTCTAACAGAAATGAGTACCAGGATTCTTCCTAAGGGTAAAGGGCTGCCGGGGCGTAAGTCTGACAACCTCAACGCCATCTTTGAGCCAGTTGTCTAGAAAATGTGGGCGCCTCGTCCTCTCACAACCCTATGGGCCTCCATGGCCTGTTTCAGGGATAGCTTTTCCATGATTTTTTTTGTCATTCTACAGCCTGGTAGGCACCAGCAAAAATGTACATAACTGTGATTTTTATGACAGCGTAGGAGCATTCTATGAGAATAGGTATAGAGAAGCTCTAATGTTATTTGTCACCGAACAGCTTCATAAAGACCTGCATCAATGCAGGAAAGCACTTTATGCGACCGTGGAGGTATATTTTATACATTTACTGTATGTGTTGAGGGGTGGTGAAGGTATTCATGTTCCTGCTGTCACCGTACAGCCTGTTAGGGACCTGCAACAATGTGCAGAACCGCACTTTTCGCTGACAGGTAGAGTTGGGGAAGGGGGGACGTCGCTTAAATATGTGTATTTTTTAGGGTTTCAAGACATCACAAGCCGGTCACGGTAGCCGAGCGGTGTAAGGCATGTACTGTCCTCGCTCGCTCGGAAGCCGGGATCTTGGGTTCGAATCCCACACAAGGCGTTTATTCTGTGTTTGTGTTGTCCTGTGTTTATGTAGAGGCCTTGCGACGAGCTGATCACCCGTCCAAGGAGTCCTACCGTCTGTAAAAATGATCATGAAACTGAGAAATCAGCCCTATGCTCCAAAATGAGAGCAAGAGGAGAGAAAAAAGAATACAGGCACCACGAAGCCTGATACTGCTGTCTTGCTGCAGTACTTTTGCAAGGAAGGGCCAGGGGTCAGGTGTACAGCGCGAAACGTACGTCTCTCACCTGTGAAGTCATAAGAAGCGAACAGGCTCTAACATACCCGCATTGTTGTTGTTTACATGCACTGCGTAGACAGACCGAATAGAGTACAGCGCAGAGGCAGTGTTGTCAGTTTTGATTGGCAAGACTTTGTGCAGATATGCGCGGTGCAAATAGGGTGGGGAAGTTGAACTTTCTGTTACAACATTTTGGNATGTTATCACTAAAGAAACCTCACTCTGACTTAATGGCACTTGTCGAAACAAATCTTTCTAATTATTTTTTACGAAGATAATTAGGGTTATTTACAACACTTATAATTGACATGTACGTCCACATAGAATAAAAGTGATTTGAAGATTAATATTTTCTAGGAATTAACGCCATGTAGTCTGTTAAAACTTCTACCGGCGTTTCGGAATAACCTACTACCTCCGTCTGCAGTGTCGACCGATGCTGCTATCTCTTGTTTCTCTTCGTAACTACTTGCTAAGGTACATAAGACAGAAGACCAAGACTTGACGGTTTTATATACCAAGGTCCATAACTATATATCCTATTGCCACCATAAACTGCTGCCTGTCAATGAAGAGTTTCTGGGATATAACGCTGTACAGTCAACCGACGTTTCGGAGGAAAATGTGGTCTCTGTCTTGAGGGTCGACGAATAAGTCAAGCAAGAAACCAGCGCGGAGCAGATAACAAGCAGACCTGATTCACGCCGGTTTCTTGCCTTCTTTTTCGACCCTGAACACAGAGGAGATATGTTTCTCCGAAACATTGGTTGACTTCCAACGAACTACACAGCGTTATATCCCAGGAAAATAGAATTCTTCATAATCACCGCTGTGAGAACCTCAAATCATACACTTTTAATATTTATTTGTGTCATTTTCTTTGGTCAGGGCTAAACTTTCTGTTCTAAATTTTCAGGTTCCAGAGCATGTGTTCGGTTCATACGAGTAGATTGCACCTGGAAGCAGCTGGGTTTCGCAACAACTTCCATTCCAGGTGCAAAACGAGAAAGCAGATGCTCATAACATATAACGTAATTAAGAATATACTTTCGAAATAAGAACTCGTGAAATATACTTTGAGCGTTTGTTATACCATCTGCTTTTAGTTTCTTGTAATTGGAGCTTATTGTATAACTTCGGCTTTCAGGAATAAGCCGCATAGAAAATTGAAGTTTTTTCAGTGTTTCAGTAAGCAAAGCTATTGCCATCTTCAGGGCCAATGTCTTGTCTCTGGGGAGCTTGGAGGGCGAAACATGTTACGCCCACAGTTAAAATGGAGGGCCAGCATACTCTTCAAGAGGGCTGAACAGACCAGGCATGGCCTAATCCATGAAGAAAATTATGATATTTTAAATCCTCTATTCTTCATATATCTGAATTGTAGAGTTTCCCTTCAATACTATCACGTGTGTAAGTGTGACTATAGACGTGGTTTGGATTGGTAATCGGATTTATTGAACACTTACAGATCGTAACGACAAGTAACTGTAGCGCTATCGCTAATTCACACACTCTGCAGTTCATTACAACACTCACTAAGATTTCTCAGTCTGTTGCATCTTCACTGATTGTCGCCTGGTAACGGCTTCTAATGCCATAGCTTCCTAAGCTTCCGTATTCGAATCCTAACTGGCCGTAGACTGTCTCACAACTAACTAAACTCTAGACGTGTCCTGCTTATAACATCTCGGCACGGACCGCACAGAAAACACCTGTCCCAACAGTTCTGTTGTTGTGTCACGTAGCTGTCGCACGGACAGCGTGCGTGTTACGAATATGTTACTGCCATTATCTAGCAATGGTTGTTTTATAGCTGTTTATTTGGGGTCGTTGCCTAGCATCGGGTATACATGTCACAATATGGTACACTTCCTGCAGATGGTGTTGTGTGACCGAAACATGTCATGGTTTTAACAGCATGTAATCAAAACAGAGAAATAAAATAAATACACTTAAATGGGAATTTACATCTTGTTCTAGTATAGGGAAGCGCCGGGATAGCTCAGTCGGTATAGAGACGGGCTACGGGCTCGACGGCCGGGCTTCGATTTCCTGCTGGGGCAAGATATTTCTCTTTTCTGTGACGTCTATACCGGCCCTGGTGCACACCCAGAGGCGAGGATGTGAGGCTGACCACTCACCTTCATCTCGTACAGAGGTCAAGAATCGTGGAGCTACACCTCCATTCCCACATATCATCTTATTATGTTGCTTACTTAATTAACCATAGGGACAAGTTTACCTTTCTAATATAGACAGTATATGTGGGGGGGATGGTAACCCTGTAAAAACTTCAGAAATTAATTCTGAATTGGTTCAGGTCCGAAACCCTAATCCATAAACATGAACTATGTTTCGGAACATTTCAGTGTAACTTTAAATAGTTATTAAGCCTGTTATGACTACACATCACTGTGTCAGGTGGTCAGGAAGCTAATAATTGAATTTCCTGTGATACTGACTCACGTATAAAGAGGAACACTTTAATTGGAGGCGTTAAAATTAATTCCTAACCCCTACTGACACTGTCGATGAATCCTTACCTGGCTACCTGAACTCATTCTGCCTTAAGGAACTCTTCAAGACTGCGTGTGATTTGACTATACAATGCTTGCTTGAGCAGCTTTTTATTACCTGAAACACCCCCACTGCTACTGTTATATATTCTATGGTTACCAGCTGCCTTCCCTTGGGTATTGCGTCTCAGAAGAAGTCCACCGATAACAGGTAACACCTGTTGTTCACTACACCTTGCCTCTCATATCCAGCTGTCTGCTTCCACAAGCACCTTGTAGCATATAAAACTTTTCTCTACTTACAAATAAAACGCAAAATTTTAATTATATTTAATAAATCTGCGTTATTTGCGAGAATTACATTAAATAAAAACATTGATAAAGAGCTCTGCTTGCCACCTAATTTCACGACGGTTTCTTGTTTGTCTTCTCTTTTGGATCCTGAAGATGGAAGCGACATGTTCGTCCCGAATTGTCGTTTCAATTTCAACGGACTACACTTCGTTTTATCCACGAACATAGAATCCTTCTTTTAACAGAGATCATATGCCTATCTGACCTTTCTCATGGTTCACTGGAAAAATATTACGAAGAGGAAAGGAGCACCCCATATTTTTTTTTTCGTTTTTTTGTAACAAACAATGATTAGCTTCCATATAAGAGGCACAGTTAAATAGTATGAGATTTGTTAATGTATTACCTGATGATGGCTCCATGAGCTGAATCATGTGATATTATACGACCAATAAGCTCAGTTATGCACAGTGAAATGTGAGCGAGTTTTTGGTATATCGTTGTGTTTGACAGGAAAAATAAAACTCATACATAGATTATTTCCACCAAGGACATCATACGAGTATTCTATTCGATGCAATTCAAGTATCCAACGGGTTAACGTTGTTTTCTTGAAATTCTCGGTTCAAATATGGACGAGAACACCGGCCATGCTGAGTGAAGAAATTTGCAGTCTCAGTCCCCCGGAAAATGCCGGATAGTGCCTCGATTAGACCACGATCGCTTTCTTCTGAGTCCTTTTCATCATTCATCCATCATCCTATCATTCCACTATCAGCGTAGTAAAATAACCTTTAAAAAAAGGGCACATCGAAGTCTATGTGAAGTGATTTTCACAAGAACTGACGCCTGACACGCGCAACAATTACAAATAATATGGCTTGAAAAGAAGTAAAGGGCGTAGGAATAAGCGAGGAAATATTTATCATACAACAAAAAACAAACACCGTCATTTTAGTCCGCAAGCGAACTATACCGACCGAACGACCGCCGCTTGTCGGCGAAGTTTAGTGCCAACTTTTGCGGATAGAGGGTGTCGCGTGGTCAGCGCAACGAATCCGCACGGACGTCAATTTAAGTGTTCTAGGCCGTAGCCCCTATTTCCTTGAAACAGCTCCTCAATTATCATCACGAGACTGAGTGGACCCCGTTCCAGACCCACTCCTTCTCAGAAAAATGTCGTAGCGCCGGGAATCGAACCCGGACCTCTGGATCTATAGCCAGGAATGCTCACCACTAGACCACAGAGGCGGTCATGTTTACCATATAGTGGTGCCAATTGCGGAGGTTTGGTTTTCAGTGAATGTGAATTTTCTTAACTATATTATCACTTGCTTCAACAGCCAATTGCAGTGGAAAGCACTACCCTGTGTTTACTTCGCTCTCATGAGCTTTGGTATAGAGTGCAGTGTTCCCACATCACTGCATACTGCAACATAGGTTACGCCTGGGGAGTGGGAAAACTGTCAGTGACTTTGATGGTTCCGGTCCATGGTTCTCGAGTAAGAGGTGTGTTTCATGTGAACCACAAACCCCCACGATAGTACTGCTATCGATTTTTCTAATTTGGCAACAGTCCGTCTATGTACATATGATGTTGAGTTGGATAGGATGTTCTCAATACTTTGTTTATTATGAGTACTGTACTTCAGATATGGGAAACTAACATGGAAAGTGTGGCCGCGCCATAGCTCAAGCGGTTAGTCGCTTGCTTACCTCCGCGGTGGCCCGGGTTCGATCCCGGCTCTGGTCAAGTGGGATTTGTGGTGGACAAAGTGGCGCTGGGGCAGATTTTCTCCGAGTACTTCCATTTCCCCTGTCAATCTTCATTCCACCAATTGCTCCACAATCACCCTCACCTATCATCTGGGGCTGGTACAATAGGCCAGAAGTGGCCGCAGTACAAGGGACTTAGTACCACCCCACTAGCAATAAAAAGAAAACATGGAAAGTAAGAATTATGGAGCCGGGATATCTCACTCAGCATAGCGACTGGACTATATAGTGAACGACCAAGAAATCGGGGTACGATTCCTGGCAGGCAAAGATATCTTTGTGTTCTCCGTATTGTACAGGCCTTCTTCGGGATAGGGGAGCTGTAGAGTGAATGTGAACACCCACCTCCAAATAATGTTGAGGTTAGGAATGGCGGGGCTATACCTCTACTGCTCCATGTTTTCATGTCGTCGTGTATAATTAAGTACAGGGATACATTGTATGGTAACAAATTATTGCTAACGCGGTTGAAAACAGTTCACTCCATAACTACTTTGCCGGTATATGAGGGAGAGTCAGCAAACAGGCCACAAATGGGAGTAAAACAGCTGTAATGGACGTAATAGGTTTTCTATGCGTAGTGCTAGGTAGCAGCGCAGTCAAGCTTCTAGGTAACAGATGCGCATGCCATGTTCAGAGGCTGGTTTCGATAGTCAATATGGCAACCGAGCTTGAGGACTGTACTACTGAAGAACAGCGTCCTCTTGTGTGTTTTCTATGGGCAGTAGGACACAATGTAAAGGTCATTCATACAGAAATTTTTCATGTTTACGGCGGGAAGGGTCCGTCGTTTAAAACGGGTCACAACTGGGTTGAGAAATTCTCTCAACGACATTCCAAAGTCGCAGATGATGGCCGACCAAGTGCGGAAGTGGCTGAGACAACAGTCAAAAGACTTTTGTGCTGCGGATTTCGACGCACTGGTAAAGAGATAGGACAAGTTTATCAATGTTAGTGGAGGATATATCGAGAAAGAAGTGCTTTTTTTTTCAGGTTCAAATATCACATGTTTTACGTTTTATAATAATTTATGATATATTTACTGACTCTTCCTTGTAGAAACAGCATCTGGTACCCAATGGCTAGGAGGCTGGGTGGTGCCAGTGTCGATGTGAATGCTTTGGAGGAGAGAAAAATCTTTGTCCTCAGTCGGGAATCGAAATTGAAATCCCTATTAATCCATGTTTTAGCCTGGTCGCTTTTCGGACTGGGAGGAAGTTACTGAACTATTTGATGGTTAGTATGCAGATGTTGCCTTCAGGGACTAGGTATACAGTATTAAGAAATGTAAGCATAATATTGCAATACAGGCAATTGGGTTTAGAATGTATAATTTGTTTTTCTAAACTTTTATTTCGCATCTGATGAAAAAAACTGGTTATCTAAAAGATGAAGACCTAAACAGAGAAGGAAATCTGGAGTGGAGTGTTATAATATTGAAGTTCTGAGGGAAATGAACTAGAAAAGACATACCAAGTCGGGATAGCGCAGTCAGTGTAGCGACTTGCTAC